GGGAATTTCTTCGAAACGGCGAGATACTTTTCCAAGCGGGGAGGGGAAGGAGGCAGTTTTTCCCCCTCCTTCCCTGTCTGGGAGAAAGGAGTTGCCCAAGCTGGTCATGAGACTTCTCCCTGCTCCCCAAAAGCAAGCTCCCGAAGTTCGGACGCTGCACCGCCGGGAGCCCGGGGGCGCGTAGTCCCGAGCAGCCCCGGCAGCAGACGCGAGCGCAGCCCGCCTGGTGGGCGTAGGGGATGGAGAATGAGGTTGGCAAATCTGTGGACAATCAAATGGACAAATACATGTAATAATCTGGAAGTTTTCTTTAGCTATCTTTGCTTTTATTCCGCTTCCTTTTTCTCCCTCATTTGTCATGCGTTTATCCCTGCTTTGATTTACCTGTGCTATTAATTCTTTCTTGCGCTCCCCTCCTCAATTTAGAGTTACAATAATGGGGAAATCAGAAAGTCAAATGGATATTGTGGAAAAATCGACAAAATCTGGAAGGAAATCCTGGAGCTTTACGGCAATCGGTCTGGCAGCCCTGCTGCTCCTCATGACTTGTGTGGTGGTCGCCCTGGTGATCCTGTATGCCAGCAGCAGAGGTAAGGAACCTATGAATAATTCTCTTTTTCCCTCTGCAAACAACATACAAGTCTTATTCCCAGAGCTAAATGAAAACAAAAATACAAGGAGACTGTGAGGTCACCTCTGTGAGGGACTTGGCTGTCTGTTCCGAGTTCATGCACAGAGAATTATGTTGGGTTTTATTTCATTTTTAAACTATGTGATTCTATGTTTTTTAATTAATACTATGCATTTTCTTGAATTCAGCACTGTTTTGACAAAGGTAAAAAAACGTTGCACTATTGTAGAGCGGAAGGCATGTGCTTGTGCATCAGTGTGTAAGGCGTGACATTTCCTTATTTTATAGAAACTTAAGTCAAGATTCATCATTGCCAGGAGTTACAAAGCAACAGCTGCTTAGCAGATCTAAAGCAGAGATTGCTTATTACAAAGTGAAAGCTTTAAAAAAAAAAGCAGCAGCCAGCATGCGGCTGAGGAAAGGGTGACTTTTTTTTTTTTTTAATATTACATCAGGCAATTTGATCTCTAGGTGAGATTTGGTTCAGTGACTTTGATGCAGATATCTTGCCAGGAACCTGACAAAGGGGCACATTACTTTGAGGTGCTTTGACTAAATATGTAAACTGCAGAGCATGCTTTCTCTCAAAGCTAAGTTTTTCCACTAGCACACCAAACACAAGTCCTATTTAAAAATTCTGTGAAGCAGTCAACATGACTGGTAGCAGCACCTGCCTCACATTTGTCATTTCCATGAATGCCTCTTGGATTCAGAGCTTTGCTAAAACACTAGCGAATAAAACTAAGAAGCATGAATAGCAAAACTGAAGCAAGGCATTGTTTTCTTATATTGTCTCTGCATACCCTGCCTGCAGTGAAATGCTTTCTTCAGCACTTGTAAGTACAACACTGCACAATTCTGAGTAATAATTCATGAGAAAAGCCTTTTTATTGTTTACTCCTTTTGCTGCCAGCACTTGTTCCAGTGTTAGATGAAATCTGAGTGGTGTTCGTAACACTCATCAGAAAGTTGCTTATATTCATTCTGTTAGCTCAGGAGACAGGAGGAAAAGAATTCCTCTGAGCTAGGTCCTAGAGTTTCTGTATCAAAATACTGAGCTATGCAGAATATTGTTGCTTGCATGCGTAAAGGGTTTGAAAAGTCTGCTCTACTTCTTGCTTCTTGGGTTCAGGTAAATCAGAATTCAGGTATTAATAATATCTGCCCAAATGTTGGCCTATCATCCAAATCCATGGGAAGAGCCTGTGCATGTAAAGCAAGTGCTCCCTATTACATTTTTTTGGTGAAAGGCTTATCTGGGAGAAAGCGGTTCCCAAATCTAAATATTTCGCAGGCTTGTATCAGCAATTAAACTTTCGTTGGAAACGTTTCCCAGATTCAGACATTCCTGAGCAAACCGCGAGCGCAAAGTCATTGCAGCGCTGATGTGCTGCTTGTCCTGTGCAGCGTGCAGCTCCTCGCGGCTGTTTTCTCATGCCTTAAAGGAGTGTTTTCGGCACTGGCCTGGAGTCGGTTCCTGCCTCTCTCAGTTTACATATAGCGTAAGTTACTATACATAGTTGAACTACTGCAATAGTAGACACCAGTATGTACTCATACTCTAGTATGAGTAGCCACGTGCTTTAGGTAATTCACAGGTGGGAATTGAGCAGCAGGAACTTTAGCCTACACCATCTTTTAGGTGAGTGCCTATATGCACTATTTGGGTCTAAAGCCGAGCAAGCAAGAGCTCTTGAGTGCAGCCAGCGAATGTTCCTGCAGAACAGGAACGTTTTTTGTCTTGAAAAGTTTTGTTCAAATACCGCACTTGGTTCTGTTTTGATGTGACATCTAAGCCCATAGGCAACGCTCTGTCAAAGGCCTGAAGTCTGTCTTAGACTTAAGTGAAAAGCACGTGTTGCTCAAAGCTGCGTAACATAAATGTAAATCCTACACAGCAACAGGAAGAAAATGTAGAAAATTCTTGTGATAGAACCAAGAATGTTATCCTTGGGATTCTTTTGTTTCTAATTTCACTCAAATGTTAAATTTTGAAATGTGTATGGGACACTGGATTGTTTACCAAGAACAGATTGCAATTCACCACTTCATCTTTGTACATCCTTTATCAGATTGACACTACTCGGTGTCTAAAAAAATAATTCTGTTTAAACTAACGGAAAATTAAAAGGATGACTTGTCCTGCCTTACATTCTCTCTGGTTTTATATATGAAGGTATACAGAGGCTTAGTGGTTCAGGGAGTATATTTCTGTTCTGCTTGTATACAGCTTGCAGAAGAGTATTGTGGTGCATGAAACAAGCCTCTGGTTATAGCAATAATGCCTGTAATACATCTTAATACTGACTGTGATTTTTATCTGTATAACCAGATAACAAAACCACTGAAGCTCTTGCAGCGATGCAGTTATATAGTTGTAGAAGCAGTTTGGGGATTTTTGACATCCAAAGAAGTTTTCATACCCATAAAACCTTGTCTAAATAAACTAAAAGAAAATACAGTAAGAATAGCAGAGTAATATTTGGGTGATCATAGAAAAGGAAGCAGACAGAACTGAAGTCACTCAATTTTGAATCCAAATACACCATGCTCTCAATCTTTCCATCACACCCACACATACATCTTTGCAGCCTTTTCACAGCTCTTTCTCAGCTATGTTCTACAAATATTTACTAAACTCCAGATCTCATCACTTGTTGGAAAGGTTACAGTCTGAAGAACATTTCAACACTTGTTGTAGCTGACACATCAAGTCACAGTGACTTCTCCAGACAACTTAGTTACAAACAACTTCCATTCTCACCTAATTGCTGGTCCTGACTGCTCAAAAGTCATGTTACTAGTTTAACTGATATTTTAGTCACTTTCTGGCTTCCAAGTTCATACGGTTTCTCACAAGTAAGATTTGCAGATATTTTTTTGTGTGTGTGTCTGCATCCCCACACGTTGTCACTATTCACACCTATTCCACAGGCTGGTACAAAGCTGGAGGGCATGCTTATGCCCCTATGCTTTACCCCTTTTAGGCAGGCTACAAAAATGAACATACAACACTTGGACTAAAAAGCACCTTATTCTGGGAGTGGATTTCAAAAAGCCATGTTATGCTCCTGCATCTCCTACGCTATGAACGCGATTAACGTGCACTTGAATAATAGATTCACAAGAACCTGCTGACTAGGGGTAATATCTGAACTCTTCACTGGCACACTAAGAAAAGGTAGTGCCCGAGATCTGGTTTGTCTCCGAGGCTGATGCCCAGTCATTCTTTGACTTCATGAATGTTCATTAATGAGGCATCTATTCAAAGGGGATGGAGAATTTAAAGAAGAGGCAGCTAACCCAAAAGTCATGATGAAATGACATTTGGGTGGCAAGACTTCTCGGTTCTACTCAGATGGAGCTACGTGAATGCGAAGACTGGATGTGCAGTAACAGGCCATACAGGGCTGCAGAAGTGGGCAAATACTCAGTTAACCAATTCTCAGATGAAATTCAGTCTCAGACATGCTTGTAGATAGGCTATAGATAAGAAACCATCAGAGAGGTGGAATAAAACACACACACTTGTGTTATGGAGTCGGTTTGAAGACACTGACATCTGGTAGAGACAGTCCCCTCAGAGGAAGAAAAGCTAAGTTTGGCAATTGCATTATTTGTTGTAAAGAATTCCCTGTTAAAACAGCAACAGAGGCAGCCTGCTGTGCTGGCAGCACTTCTGCAGATGCTCTGTGTGAGAAATAGGTAAGGTGCCGAAAGGTAAAGCTCGCACTTGGCTGCCTGATGACAACTGTGGATCTAATCGTTTCAATGTGTGCCATCCCCAGCCATCTGTGGTCCTCAAACACAGTGGGAAAACACTGAAAGCAAACTTTGTGCTTCAGAGACTGTACAGAATGATTTGCTTCACTTTCGTTGTCTAAAAAGGAGCTTCAATAAGGCTGTGAAAAGCAACTTGCATATTAAAAAACTGTCATTCAAAAGATGACCTGCTGAAGAGGACTACAGTGCTCTACAGTTCTCAGAAGTTACTCCTATCCTGCTGCTGACCAGTAAATGCAATAATATTGTTCAGTGGCTTCTTGTAAAGTCAAATTAAGATGATAAAATTCTCTACAGTGAATCCAGTGGGATCTGAAGCATGTCCCAGCTCTGCCATTTTTCATAAGAGCAGTTGACCTCTGATGTAGTGTCTGGAGTACTTATTTTCCCTCATTTTCTTCCATCTGGAGTAGTCCCACAGCTAAGGTAATTTTATTTATCTCCATTAAAGCTTACCTTCCCTTATCAATTCTCCAATGGTGTTCTATCAGACCAAAAGTGAGGAAAGCCTTCAGTCCACAGAGGGTTTGTTGGTTCTTTTCTACTTTATTAACAGAGCAAGCATATGACTTTCTTAATGAAGTACATGCAAAGGGGACACTGCAGAGGTCCTGACTCTTGCGAGCCATGAAGGAACTTAGTATTACACAAAGTAGTTCCAGTGGTGAGATCTTTCTGGCCCATTTCTGTTCTTTTGACATCCCTTTTTGGTAGTTTTAAAAGGTATATCCAAGGAAGGGTGTCTCAGAAGAAAGAGGTGGGAAAATGGAGCGATTAATTTTAAGAGAAAAAATGTTGTAAGAAGCTAAACCCTAGAGGAACTTGGCTGTGGGAGAAGACAAGTGGGAAGTAAGGTTTGATAGAAGCGACAAGTATGGATTTCCCACAAACCCTGATGTGTTTACTTCCTGTGCAGCAGGGGGAACATGGGATTCGGAGCCAAACAACCTGTACCAATTTTATTCTGCTACAAATCACTATCTTCATGCCCTACATTATTGTCAAATATGGCCCCTTGTCCTACTTATGATTCTACATTCAAAAATTTCCCATCACATCCATCTAAGTCCTGCTAGATGTTTGTTCTGTTTCAACTTTTAGGCTTTGCGGAACGTTAACCCAAGTTGTCCCTCCCATGTCTGTACTTGCAGCAGTCCCTGGATGTCAAAGCAGGAGTGTATGTCATTATAGCTCAACCTCTTAGCAATATTTAACGGGGGAGGAAATATATAAATACCTATATTTATACTGAAAGCTTGGGCAGTTGTTTTTAGCAAAGTAGTTTGAGAAAATGAAGTGCAGAGTTATCTGGCTGAGACTTCAGAAGGTGCATTCTGCATTTGTTTCTAGTTATTTGAAGTTCAAGAGGTGCAGCAGACAGAGCGTCAGTCAAGTGAGCAAAGACCCAACAAATATATTGTGAAGTAAAACAGGGCAGTGTTGGTCATATCTCATACAGAGTCAGGTTGGCTTGGTTCTTTGTCAGGAATGGTCCTGAGGCATCAAAGAGATAATTGATAGAAAAACAAAGGAGCCACTTTTAGAAGTAAACCGAGAGCCCCTTAACAGCCATTCCTAATTATCTGGTTTTGTGGCAGAGTTTCAGAGCCTGAAGTGTGCAACCAAGGTTTCAAAACAGATTTGGCTTCCCTGCTTACACGGCTCAATTACATTTTCACAATCACAAGGGCTTTTTGAATGTGGGGAGTTAGAATCTCGTTGAAAGCAGTTGGGTTCTGGAAAGTGAAGTTAGACATTGTCAGGTTATATTAAAGAGAGAAGCTTTAATTAAAAAAAAGCTTCATTTGAGTCCTGCCTGGTCCCTGAGAAACAGAGAGAGAAATGCAGTGTACTTGTAGTACAGTTATCCCTTTCTCACCTTGCCCATTACTATTTTTCCTTTATGGAAGATTTCCATATGCCCTTGAACCACTTGTTTCTTTTCCCCAGAAGGATTTTTTTTTTTCCCTTGGAAATACCCTGGGCTTTTAGGTTTTTTCTTTTTTAAATTATTAGGCAGTTTAGGAAACTCCAAAAATTGGGCTTAGCTTCACCCAGTACAAAAAAAAAGTTAAACCCCTCTATGTGAAGCTTCACATTGTTACATGTATTTTGCTCATCCCATGTTCAGATTGCTAGACACTAAACTGTAATAGGGCATGCAGTTATTCTAATGCAGATCTACTCCCACACAGCACGACAGCGCTCGGCTGAACCCAGAATGTGACATTCCCAATCACAGTGGGGGCTTTTTATGTTGCTTCCACTGATGAACTTCAAAGCCTTCTTTTCTTCCCTACTGTTTTATTTCTATCTGAATTACTGTAATCTTGTTTGCTCTCATGTAAAACACTTGTTTTCATTGGAAGGAATTTTTTTTAGTAACTTTTCTGCCAACATCCTAGTGTAAGGATCAAAAAAAATTTTAAAAACATGACTAATCCTGTTGGAAAATAAGGGTATCAAGTTTTTGTTTTCCAGTGTGTGGAACCAAGTAGTAGTCTATTTAACGCAAGTAAATACCTAGCTAGTCCAGTTTCACAAATGGGAAATTAAAACAGCAAAATTAGTTTTCTTGTGCCCAGGGCCAAGGCTACTGGTCAGGCTGGGGTGCTTAGCTCCCATTCTAGTTCTATGGTAAACAGCGCACAAGAGTGACATAACCAGCATGACAAAACACATTCACTTTACTACTCAGCATAAAAAATTATGTGTTCAGGTACAAAGCCTTCAGTGTAAGTTTGCAGCAGAACTTATGGCTCTGAATTCACATCAAGACCCTCTGTAATCACTGCCATCAAACTCGTAGCAGTACATTTGGTGTAGAGCACCAAGCAATAAGAGCTACAGACTGTTGCAGTTTCTGCTTACCACCCATGCATTAGAAGTGCACAGGCTTCTCGTGGATCTTCTTCACCGGAAGAATTTCACAAACCAAGACTAAATGGTCAAACAGAAAATTCATAGCCAAGAGTAACACTTTCCAGCTTCTGCTGGAGTGAGCAGACAGACCCATTTCCACATGTAGGGCTACACATCATTTTCTTCTATTTTAGAAGTCACAGCAAAATCTTTCTGCTAAGGTTTCATTGCCAGTGCTCCCTCTCAAATTCCTGGTCACATCACGCCTCCTGTGCAGGCTGCAACCTGCAAGTCATGAAGGACACCAGAATTCCCAAACATCACCGATTAGGGAGCAACCTCTGTGCTGAACAGCAAGGAGTAACCTTAAAGGGCATATCTGAAGTTTTGACCAAACACAGGTCTGTTACCTGCTCCCCTGCTAAAAGATAATTTATTTTCTTAAATTTGATCTTTGTCACTCAAAACAGCACGAAAGTAGTAATCCAGCTATGGACTTTTTGCCCCCTGTTTACACCTCTCAGTCACGGTGACTTTGAAGATCGTGAAAGAGCTCAGATGCTCAAAGCATGTTAGTAGATTGTCTACAAAGGGATCTCCTGCTTTCAGTATTTGTCAGGATGTGGAGACAGTTAGCAGATAAAAAGCCTGGTCTTAGTCTCCTTCCAGGAGAGTTAAAACTCGCTGTCAAACCATTCTAATACTGCTTCCAGTAAATTTGCCTCATAAATCTGCAGATAAGATTTCTTCACAGTTGTCATTCGGTGTCTTTTACCGGCACTAATATTCACTTGCTTGCTCTAAAACTAAACAGAGCTGTCATGGAGGCTGGGCTGCTGGTGAGCAATTTCCTTCCAAAACAACTAATTGATCTGCTTTCTTACTCCTCTTCCTGCAGGCATCACCAATTCTGGCAACATATGTACCACACCTGGATGCGTAACAGCAGGTAGCAACCAGTCATTCCTACGCATGGTTATCGCGGTTATCGCGGAGGTGATGTTTTACACGTCGTTAGTTCTGCTAAACCTGCTAAATCTAAATTCTGCTAATCTGCTAAACAACAGCTCAATTCCTACGCATGGTTATCGCGGTTATCGCGGAGGTGATGTTTTACACGTCGTTAGTTCTGCTAAACCTGAATAAAAAACAGCTCAGGCTTTAAGACTGAAGAAGTTGAAAAAGGAAGGAAATTTCCCCTTGGGCTAGATCCACACTGCTGCTACTGTCAAGGGCAGCAAGTACATCTGTCCTCAAATATAGTTGCAGGTGTAAACACTGAGCAACTCCCCTCCATTTCTTATCTCTCCACTGCATACTTTCTTTGTCACAAGAGTATCATTCATAAGGAAGGAGAAGGGCCAGTGTGGCACTCTGCTCTGGGAGAATTACTTTACCATTCAGAGGCTTCCTCTGTAAAGCAGTACAGTTGCAGCGCAAACGTCCGCTGTCAGATGCTTCTGTGCATTTTTAGGCAGAAAATGGGATCCTTTAAGTCATAATACATGAGAATGAGCCTTACCCACTAGAAGCAGCATAAGCAAGGTGCCTTCTTGCCAAGCGGCTTCTTGACAGTCTTTGGTAGTCCCAGAGATTACTGGGCAGTCTGTGGAATTCAACTCTCTGATTTTGATACCTAGCTGCTAGAATAATTCAGAATATGGACCCAACAGCTGACCCTTGCAAGGATTTCTACCAGTATGCCTGTGGGGGCTGGCTGAATCGGCACGTTATCCCAGACACTAGCTCCAGATACAGCATTTTTGACATTCTGAGAGACGAGCTGGAGATCATCCTAAAAGGTAAGAATGTGGCTACTCTGTCCTTGGTTATGCACTTGTGTTTAGCTTCAGATGTTATTTACTGCACGTTATACAGAGAACTGAACTTCCAGAGGCATGTTGATTGTGGTTTTTTTCTCTCTAGTCCTTTAATCTCCACATCTCTTACTACACCCATTTTGTGGGAACATCCTGTTCCTACTAAAAATTAGCCATAGGTGATTTGGTACTAACTTCAAAAGGAGCAGGACAAGCTGTATGCATGTCCTTCTTCCTGACACTTTTTCCATTAATAGCTCCTTTAAAGAGCACTCTAGTTTCACGGTAATTGAAGCTTACAATAACAAGTATTTATCATATCCCCAAACTCTCAGTGATGAATGAAAAGATCAAAGCTCTCCAGGGCAAAATATCTCACTGCAATGGTTCCTTCCCCAGGTGTGCTGGAGACTTCAGATGAAGGGGACAGAGAAGCATTTCGGAAAGCTAAAATACTTTACAAGTCATGCATGAATGAGAGTGAGTCTCTACTTGTTCCATTGATTCTCTTGTTCAATACCGAATGTGCGAAAGTACCAATGTACTTCTAAGCAAAAGTCCAGTCAGCATCTATCTAATCTGCATTACTACATTTCTTCTTTGGTTTTTTTTTTTCATATGAGAACAATATAGTATTTGGTTTTTCCTCTCTCAGGTCTTATAGAGCAACGAGATTCATTGCCTCTGCTAGAGGCCTTAACGATGGTTGGAGATTGGCCAGTGGCTTCTGCAGACTGGAATAAGACCAAAGGTACTGCTCTGCCTAAAGAAGTTCAGTAGTGTTAAGTCAGAATTAGTTATTGCACTACTGTCATTGAATTAGATCCTCAGTTTTAACTTTTTCTTCAGAAAGAAAAGTCAGGGTATCACTCATATTTAGCATGCCGCGATCTGTATAAGTAAGGTAGTATAAGTTTAATACCCATATTATAAGATCTCATTCATGAGCAGTGTACATTTTGAGACAGTCAGGAAACCTAAAAGACCAACATGAATAATGAAAACAAAAGCAGTATAACCAATATAGCTGTGTTCTAATCCTTGCATATTAATTAGGGTTTGGAGCATAACTGCCTAACTAGGCAAGGTCATGGTGGTTTATATTATGCATAGGCAAATCCACATGTAGATCATATATATATATATATATAAAAATCATTTACTGATTACTTTATATCACCAAGACAGATAAGGCCAATAAGAACAGTCTTGCAATTTCTGGCCACTATAGGAATGTCCTGTACAAATATTCTCACATCATGTCCAGTCTGGTTCTAAACAATCTCAGCAATAAGCTTGCAAATGATGCAACTTATTCAGTCCTGAAACGTATTGATAAATGGTGTGTATTTTCCCTTTTATCTCCCAGAGCCAAACTGGAGCATAGAAGAAAAACTCTCCATAATGAACTCCAGATTTAACAAACGAGTCCTCATTGACATGTTTGTATGGAATGATGACCGGGATTCCAGCAGACACATCATTTATGTAAGAAAAAAATTGCAAGGAATTCATAATGGGTAGTTATTTACACTGCATACAGATTAGCTTTCCATAAGTCAGTGGGTATGCACAATACTGGCAAAAAGTATGCAACGGTTCTGTTCCAAGTGGCAGATCTGTCTCGAAGTCATATTGGGAAACATTTTATGTTGGCATAATTTTTGTTTCACTTAAAGAAACTTAAAAAAATCATCACTAGACCTTTACTGATTTACAGCACTTAAGGGTTGTAAATTCTTGTGACTTGCAAAATGTATTTATTTTGTGAGGTTTAATATGTAGCAGGAAAGCATGCTTTTAAAACATGTGAATAATATTTCAGAGTTCATTCATGTATGCTCATGCATGAAGTCTAGCCCTCAAGTCAAGCAATTTCTTTTCTAAGTTGCTTAAATTTATTCTTAGATCTCAATGGTTATGGAAAGATTTTGCTTAATAACCCACGCTAAGTATCCATCCCATCCTTGTCTAGAAATCCAGAGACAAAAGCAGTACCTTCCATCTCACCCCGGTCCCTAGAAAGCTAAAGTTCTTTGATTGTGTGGTGAGAGTGTACTGTTGTTGTTCCAACACGGAAAGGATGGCACGTGCAGCATTTAGTGTTGCCTTTCAAGGATACCTTTGGACACCACCAGTTCCTGTTCACCACTAACTAAAGAAATGTATGATTTCCTTCAGATTGACCAGCCAACTTTAGGAATGCCATCCAGGGATTACTACTTCAATGGGGGCAACTATCAAAGAGTGAGTATTCCTTGTAATTTGTTTACTATGTGCTACTAAAACAACTTTATTATTTATCCCTGTGTTTTGGAAAACTCAAATATATGAATCCTTATGTTACGTAACAATCAGAATTAGACTGTGACATTCGTTGCTACTTCTTTTCCCAATTATGCCAAAATTTTGTAAACTTTACAACAGGACTGAACAACTGTATAAATATCAAGCCCTCCCCGCTCCCCAAGCTGGCCAATTCATACAGATGAGAAGGTTATGGGAAAATAAAATCATCATGTTTTGTAGCGTAAAACAGCCTCTAATTTTGAAGGATAGGTTCACATTTTCAGTGCAAGTTATCTTGGCTTCACATATCTTCTTCTAAAGCCCCCGATTCTGGCTACTATTTTACAAGGTACTGGAAAGATCGATTAGAGATATGGGAGAAGAATTGTCATACTGGATCAGATTTAAACATACAATATACCAGAATATGTTTTGTTGAACACCAAAATAGTCAAAGTTTTGCACGCGTTCATTCGGCGGGGGAAGTTAAAAAAAATAAAAAAGTGTTTTACATGGAGCAGCAAAAGCTGTATTAGTGAAACAGGTACACAGCTAGTAAAAGTCTACTGCGATTTATTTTCCCGTTTCCCCAAAATTACATGAAAATTGTGAGAGATTATTTTCTATCTGCTTTCACTCTGCCAGTGCTCAGAGCAGAAACGTGAGGGTTTCTGTAAGTACATGGAAAGCTGTTGCAAACACAGCCAGATAATTTATCCGTTTCCAAGATTAAGATGTACTAAAGCAGTGTTTTCTTCTCCTCAATGACATCATACTAACAAAAAGTATTTGCAGCCTAACATCAAACTAATTGTCCTAACACGAATGGAAGGGAATAGAGAGACAACAATCACATTTTGGACTCTTTTGACTAGTGGTTGTAAAGGCAGATGAAAACATCAGTGAGACTAGTTTTCTTCTTACTTCAGTGTACTTGACTATATTCTCAAATATATTGTAGTCTAAAATATAGTCTGATTAAGTTTTTATGAGATACTTTCCACACCTTCTGGACACCTTTATAAGCCGCCAACTTCTGTTAGTCTGTCTCATGATTCAAAACAACCTCCGCATAGTTGTGTTGGGAACTGCGGATAGCTGCTGGAACTAGGATTCTATTCGGCCAGTTTCACCTATATAGTGGCAGTTACAGTAGAAAAGAGGGGTATTTACATATCGTTGTGTGAGTCAGCTTTAGATTGACTTGTAGGAGGTAGAAAATCAGGTACAGTACATAGACGATCCTAAATTAGCAAAAAAAAACCAGTACTGCTTAATACAGTTTTAATTTGAAGCTATAAAGAAGGAGGGCTAAGGCTGTGGTTTTAACCTTAATGAATAAGGAGGAGACACAACCCCTTTTTATTTGCTATTTAACAGCTGACTTCCCACAGACAATGAACCAAACTCTGATGACCCAAACTCCCCCTGTGCTTAGTCCAGCATCTTTTGGCAAAACTCCTACTGAGGCCTGTGGGAGTCTGGCCTGATTAAAGCCTCAGCAGTCAGCCTAAAAACACAAATCATCATCGTGTAAGTGCCCAGACTCTATTTCACAACAGTAACTGTATTTATCTGGTTTCCAACATCTATGGAGGGAGAAAAGTATGCAAGAAGAGTAGGTAGTATTAAGCTTTCCTGCATCAGCGATCAGTAATCCTGCAGCAGCCAAATATCTTTTCAAGGTCCATTCTGAGGCATAAATCACAGCCATACCCTCCTATTAGAAATAAAGCAAAGGTATCACTGGGAACCATCTGAGACAGAGCTTTTCTTTCGGACCATAAAAACAGAGTTTAGAAGATTTATGATATTACTTTCAGAGAACTTGAACTTTCCACGTCTGCCCTGGTATTGTGACTAGTAGGAATCACTATTCCCATAGTGACTCGAAGCACAGAGCTTTCTCTTTGCTCAAGGATTAATTCTAACTCAGAACACCAGAGAGTCAGATTGCACAGGGAAGCTGAAAGTGTTGCTTTCACTATGTATTTTGAGACTGGCAACTGCACTGTAAGGTATTCCAGGATGAAGTGAGGTCCTAAGTATTGCAGTAGTATCTATTCTAGTAGGAAAAAAAGAGAGATGAGAAAATGGAGTGGGGAGGGTTGCATTGGAGAGAAGGGCAGAGGCTGTGACCCCTGGACCCAACTTTTTCACAGCACACTGTAAAGCTAAAATAACAAAAAGAATGGTTTCCTGAATGAGAAATGATAGACAGCAAACTTTTTCTTCACATGCTACACATGTTCCGTTTCTTGTGCGCAGGTGAGAGAAGCTTACCTGCAGTTCATGATCACCATTGCCAAAATGATCCGGGAAGACAAGAATATGTCTAAAGATGATTCTTTTGTCCAAGAGGAAATGGCAAAGGTTATGGAGCTTGAAACAGAGATTGCAAATGTGAGTACAGAAATCGAGAACTTCGCAGGATGTTGGGGGGGCAAGGGGTGAAGGGGAGAGTCTCTCGCTCCTTTGTGCGGCGGTTTTCAACGCAGCAGAAAACCCATGGCCTAGAAGAAAGCAGGGGAAAGAAGACTACTTGTGCCGTGAGCAGTCCAGAAATCAGAGCCTCTGTGTGTATAATTATGTCTACTGTAGACACTGCTACTGTGCCTGCTGTTGTCCTAGCTGTATTTATTTATGGAAGTTTCCTAAAGCAGGATATTCTATCTTCTGCTAAACATACACTATTATAACACCGGGATTAGCTCTCTTGCATCCTTAGAAGTCTACAGCACCCTAAAAATCTCCAAGAACTTAGTCTTCCATTCTAAAGAGGATAGAGGGAACAGCTGGGCTCAGCACATTACTGAAATATTACCAAATGGGGGGGCCGAGTTCCTGTACTGAAACTTAGAAAGCAGCACTGAACACCACTAAATGAGCTTTCTTTTCCAAAATAAGCTCGCTCATTCGCATATTATTTGAGCGTGTATATGTGCACGTGCATGCATGCAATTTCAGCCATTGACACTGTGTCAGTTGATTCTAGTAGTAACTTTGTGAATGTCTTCAGGCAACGACCCCAGCAGAAGAAAGGCATGATGTAACCTTGTTGTACAACAAAATGACCTTAAAAGAGCTACAGGAAAAGTTTGCATTGAACGTAAGTGTTTAATGAGCAGTCTCATACTTCAGCCTCCTCTTATTACCACGGTAATGGGAAATGGCTTTGTAAATTTATCAGTGATGCAACAAAGAGAGGCATAAAATCATTCCCATTCTTAATCTTGTCTTCAGAGTCTCTTAAAAAGCATTTTTCTACTGAACACCACTACAACTACATTCAATCCCATAGACTGTAGAAAGTCCAGACAGTTACTAAGGCATTTAAAGACCTGGCATTGGTACATGTCTTTCTGTCTGCCTAGGAATTTAACTGGACCTTCTTCATCCAAGGCATCATGTCTTCAGTAAGTGTTCAGGTTGACCCAGAAGAAGAGGTTGTTGTATATGGCATGCCCTATCTGCAAGAACTGAAAGCAATTATGTCCAAGTACTCAGCAAGGTAAAGAAACTGGAGAATATCCAAGACAAAAGTCACAGAAGTGTTGCAGAAATGTACATTGGGCTCACTTGCTAGTTCTGCCAGAGCTTCTCTGAGAAAAGTGACGCCACTTCGCTGTAAAATACGGGTAATGTCTTCTACGGTCCTAGGGTCCCAAAGTACTGCGCTACTAGGTGTCCCACCCACTCACGTGCTTAGGAGAGGTTAAATGGGAAGAAAAAAAATATCACAGGCTTAGCGCATTACACTGTAGAAGAAAAAATAAGAGAAATTAATCCCTGAACAGACATGGTAGTACAGTCCTCAGTCTGGATGCTTCTACAGTTACCCAGCATGTTAAATAAGAACAGTCACCTGTAGATGCTACAAAACTGATGACTGGCAGCAATCATTTGCTTTCTTATCTCCATGCAAAATTAAGATCCCCCTCCGATTGTCTGCACCAGTGTTGCTTTTTACAGGGGCTTAAACTCAGCTTTGCTTTCCCGCACAGCACTATCCAGAACTACCTGATTTGGCGACTGGTGATTGATCGAGTCAGCAGCTTGAGTCGGCGTTTCAAGGATGCTCGGGCCAGCTACAGGAAGGTATTTCCTCTCTTCCTAAAGAGACCATAGAGCATAGTACTGGAGGAGAGTCCCACAGTCACCAAATCGAGTCCTTGCCAATACAGTGACCTTACTATGTCACGTAATCCCCAAACAAATCTAAGAACAGCAATCGCAACAACAGAAACCTTTGTCTTGGGTTAACCTGCTCTTTAGGCAATGATTTAGAAGAGAGGTGCGTAGGCAGAATTAATCCTGTGGCGTTTTGTGTTGCAGGCACTTTATGGGACAACACTGGAAGAAGCCCGCTGGAGGGAGTGTGTGAGCTACGTCAACAACAACATGGAGAACGCAGTGGGAGCAATGTATGTCAGGGAGACATTTGCTGGTGAGAGCAAGAGGATGGTATGTAGTTTACCCTTCATACTATTGTACATCCACGATGTCTACAGTGCCCGTTCCCCTCCATCTGATCTCCCAGCCGCCTTTGTCTGTTAAAGATACCAATCAGCCAAGAGTCAGAAGAGATAAGAACTCATTTATGATGCTCTTAAATGCCAAGTACCATGTTTTAGAGCACAGAATTTGGGGACATCATCTTTCAGCAGTAGGAAGCTTTTCACCCCTCCTTAGCTGTGCCTGGGAAAAATAGCATGTAAATGATTAATTTCCTACTGCCTCTCTTTTAGGTCCAAGATTTAATAGATAAGATCCGTGAAGTGTTCATCGAGACTTTAGATGAGTTACAGTGGATGGATGAGGCATCTAAAGAGAAAGCTCGTGAGAAGGTCAGAGATAACAAGGAACTTTAGTATTCTGTCATTAATATGAAATCTTTGGAATTTTGTAGCATCTCTATTCCCAGTTCCTCTACAAATGCGTGGAAAAAACTTCAATGTTCACTATCCTACTATCCATTATCCTACTAGACTGTTCTTTTCTTTTTAATCCTTTGTTAGCTCACATACATTTTTACTTCCTTTAATGAGTCTTGTGAACCATGTTATAAAAATGAGGAGAGAAGATGGCACCCAATGCATCAATTAGAATGACAGCTGAATACAATGCAATCCCCCAAAGAAAACTTTTCAAATTTTTCATTGACTTTAGGACTATCAGCACTGTTCCAAAAGCAAGAAGTTAGAAAAAAAACCAAGGCACTAAAGGGTTAAACCCAGTGCTTGTCAGATGGTGCTGTAGGGTCTGCAAGTCTACCATAGTGGCTGGACACCAGGAGATGACAGGAAGACTGTATGTTCCATATTAAAAAAAAAGTCTCACTAGGCAATAGGGTGCACTTGAACAAGGTCTTTAAATATTTGCATTCTCACAAACAGGTGGATAATAAAGAATTTGAACTATTTTATATATATATATAAACTTTAAAAAAAAAAACAACACAATTAAGAAGAAACATTAAACTCTCTTCTTCTAGGCAATGGCAATTAAAGAACAAATTGGCTATCCAGATTATATTTTGGAAGATCCGAATGAAAAACTAGATCAGGAATATGCCAATGTAAGTACGCTGTGCATACCTCAGCAAGTACCTCAATATAAAAGCCTGCACTTATTTCCTTGCCAATTGGAATACTTATACCTGTGCAACTGTCATTTCCAAGTGTCCGGACAGCATGCCAACTTGACTGTGTTGAACATTTTATAAATAAATGCATGTGAAGAGCTAACTATTAAGCTGTACCTTGCAATCAAAACATTTTTCAGAAGATCCGTTTAGTGGCATGAGGAGTTCCACACAGCTTACTAATCTGCTTGGATATCTGTTTCTTTAGTTGAACTTCAGTGAACACAATTACTTTGAAAACATTCTGGAAAACCTGAGAGCTGGAGCCCAAAAGAGCTTGAAAAAACTTCGAGAGAGAGTTGACCAAGACATGTAAGTTTTCAGACTGCATGCTAGGGACGCAGTGGTCATTGTGTTTTAAGTCACATGCTGTGGATAGCCAAGAACGCTTATGTCTGAGATCTTGTAAGTTATTTCCTGAAATTAAACAAGTAGTTCATTGCTTCTTGTGGTAGGAATTCATCCAGTTAACTTGATGATGGATTTAGAGACGTTCCAAGACGCTTCATATTCAGATATTACATTGAAGCTACCTAACACAAAAGCAGTGACAGATCTTTCTGACAGCTCAGCGAGGAGGAGATGAGATAAGCAGTATCATGGAACTTCTAAAAAGTTTATAACCGGGAGGGGAAAAAAAAGATTAAAATATTCTGGCCAGAATTCTGTTGGCGATGTGCCCAGGCTTGGGGAAGCTGAACGCCAGATCTATTTTATGCCCATTTCCAGCCAGTTATATTTATACTTTACTAGGTGCAGTGTGAAGTATTCTTCAGGAAGTTCCTGCCACGGGTGCAGGCGTGGCTGCATCGTGATCCCTTCTTTGACTCCACGAGAGCATCCTGAGTAAGTCTCAGGTCTCAGCCTGCATTGCCCTAGCTGTCACAGTTCTCTCCGGCAAATCCAAGCTAGCGCTAGTCTTAAAACAACCAAATAGAAGTAGCACGTCCGTAAGTTGTTACTAACAGCGCCAAAGTGAGCAGCTGGCATCACCAACCAGTAAGAAGCATTACCCCACATCGCCAGGACGACCCCTCCAGTCCTTCAAGTGCAGCTGAGCTCCTGCCAAGTCCATGACATGGATACGTCCCAGAGGCCCTGGCTTGCACGTTCAGCAACAAATGCCTTGGAATATGACCTGATTTCCAGAGCTATGAGCTAGCCAATCTGAACTTCTAATAGTCCGGTTAGCTTCCCGAGCTGGACACCTCCAACACAGCTATCTGGCAAAGCTACTGCTGAATACGTTAGTGACAGATACACAGTAACGGCAGGCAGAAGTAAGGGAGCTAATACCAACTTGACGTGTTGTTCACTAGTAGCCTTCCAGCCTGCGTGATGCTGGAAGAGAACGACTTGAGACAAAGGAAAGTAGATTCCAATAAGATTTCCAAACACCTCTTCAAAAAATTTAAAATAACACAGAGATATTGATAAGCCGGCAAACAAAGAGTCTCAAAAGGAAAGCATTAGTCGAGTTAATTGTTGCAAAGCCTATTCATTTTTTCCATCCCTCTTCCTGCAAAGTGGTTTTAACTCAAAATGTGAGCACACAATGCAGACAGTAGAAACTTCCAGTGAACTACTGATGAATAATTCACCAAGGGAATTTTCGGATCAGTCGGCTAAGTAACAGAGTGTTTTTTTTCTGCTTCCTCATTTCTTGAGGAATCAATCACGGTGCTTTTCATAGGAAGAATTCTTGCACATCATTGGTTTTCTTAATCCACAAACTGTGTTATAGACCACCGCTACCTTTTACATGCTGTCTGCAGAGATGGATGGTAGCCCTTTAGCCAAAATTCCCCAATACCTCTGCTCAGTCTAGGTGTGGTTTAAAGCACATTTGTGGGAACATTTTCATGGATTCATGAATTGGGCTTTCTTTGCCTGGTAGTTTCACGATATATGAAATACCAATCATTTGCTCTTTTTCCACGTAATGAACCACAGCTTTATAGTAATGTCTATCCAGCGGCTTGAATGGTTCCCCCAAGGAGACGTAAAACCACTTATCACTCCAGATCACTGTTTAATTAAACTGAAGGACAGTATATAATGAATAGTGCTGCTAGTATTAGCTAATTATTGTAATTAAGAAAAATTAGCCATTGTTCATCATCATAGCCTTCAGTGGGGGCCGGGGGGGAGGCCATGGTTATTACACGCTACCTGGCCAGCTACAAACATTTCATGTCAGGCATGCCAAGGAGAGGCTTATGGAGCAAGAACGTGTTTTCACAACAGACTAGCCTTCAGAAAACTGTTTTTAAAAATTCTCCAGTACACCCTCAAATTCAGGAACAGATTTGCACTCCCTCTCTGTGCACGTGTTACGCTCAGGTTAGTGGCAGTGTCAGCACAACCCATTTCTACTACTTATTCCTGTTCCCAGGTGGTGGCGAGCGGTCCTCTCTATTCTGTCAGTCCAGAATAACCAACTTTTCAAGAACTGAAAGATATGGACATGTGCTGTATTTCTTAAGCAGGAAATCCAATCCCATTCCAGAGCAACCCACAAGTACTTATGTCACAACAATAGCAGATACAGCAACTAAGACAGCACAAGATACTAGAAGGACAAGGGATGTGGGAAGAAGAGTATCTCAGGCTGATGCTGCTGAATACTTCTCATGACTTCACAGCTTCAGACTGTTACTGCATAGTTCATTACAGCGGGCTGACTACAAGCATATGTCAGAGGCAGAAAGGGAGGAGAAAGCGCAATACAAAGAATAAAAAGTTATCAAGCTCTTGGAGAGAGTTTCCAGAAGTAGCCTACTTAAAAATTACTTCTCAAAGTTAACACTCATCATCTATGAAATACTGGACTCCAAATGCAGACATTTATATATCTGATTGTGATTATTCGGTTTTGATTTTTCAACAGACAAGTCTGGTCCTAACTTCCTTTTACTGCTCAAAATGTCCTCTGAACGCTCATTTTCTTTTGAATGTGAACTATTCATTTCTTCTTAAGCTCAGATAGTGTTAAGATGAGGTGGGAAACAGTTACCACATGCCACCCCAATGTGACTGTTCAACATTCAAGAGCAAAAGCATTTCTCACTTGAGCTTGGCATCGTTCTGGATGAAAGATGCCCATAAACGAGACACCAGTTATATTCCTGGTATTTGTATTTCTTTACAGCTGTATTCAACGGCACCCTTCTTCCCTAGCTCAATCCTTTCCTTATATGCAGCCTGCGTTTTTTAACAATAATTCAATAAAAAGAATGTCTTAAAAAAGTAAATCGTGACTAACTTTGTGTGCAACATTTATTTTTAGATGGATAATTGGAGCTGCAGTGGTCAACGCATTCTATTCCCCCAATCGGAACCAGATAGGTAGGTTTACAACAATTTTAAACAGCTGCATGGAACAAATTAGTCATTTTTTGCACCACAAGGCTGCCAGTCTGCTATCCAGAGGCAAACTTGCCTGTGCCCTTATGGAAGTACTGGGCAAGGAAGACAGGCTGTTCGTTTCAAGCAGTCGCTTTGTTGAATATTCAATTCCCCCCACCCTTGGGAGGCAGAGTTTATATACTCTAGCGGGGACAGCCTTATGTCGGAAAGCCTGAGACAGTAACTGCTGCTACAGGAGTGCCAGCTTCAGAGGCCGGAGCACGCTGACAGCGCGTTCTGGGCCGTTCGAACTCGTGTTTCCACATTCCTGATAACACACGAGCAGCTCCCTTGCTATCTGTACAGATGGTACTGAAATCGTATCGGGAAGAGGCACAACGGGGTAAAGACACCTGCCTCTGCTTACAGAATATGGGATCTGTGAGGTTTTGCAGAGTTGCTAGGCCGACCTTTCTTGTTCTTAGCAGAGAAGAAGAGCTTCAGACTTAAGACGCAGCGAAGCTGTTTGGCTCCCCGAGCTCTGAGCTGGTGCAGGCGGCCAGAAGCGCAGGTTAAGCTTGCAGATGCTGTGCAGTCTTTGCTGACTTCTGAGCCCCCAAAAGAGGAGAGGAACCAAATCATTTTTACTAAGTAGGGCTTACTCAAATTCCCAGACTGCCCAGAAGATCTACTATCCAGGCACAGCCAAACACCATAAGAGGAAAAATCCGTGCCTTTTTTAGACCAGACAGCAACTGTACCCTGCTCACAGGGCAAAGGCCAGAAATGGAAAACAACCCAAGCAACCATCACAAGGGAAAACTTAAGACAACTGCTAAAAGCAGAAACATCCAAAATGCTCATAACGTAGCTCTCTAGCCTCATCAGAAAGAGCTGGTTTCTATTTGTGTCGCTTCCACTTACCTCTGTGCTGCGGGTACAGTGGAAGCTGTGAGCAGTCCTTCAGCCGTAGCAGGGTACACCTTCCGCTTGCTAGCACACACCATCTTGGGGCCAACTCATAGGAAAGCTCAGGCTCCCTGTTTATCCACAGTGGTTTTATGGTGATTGTAATCAGCTGTGAGCCAGCCTGCCAGGCAGGGAACTCCGATCTTAAAGACGACTGGCTCCTCTGCAACTTTGCCCTTATAAGTAATATGGAAGTAATTGGTTTAAGCAACTTTAAGATGAATATGCAAGCCAAAAATCCAAGGATGGCTACCCACAATAGTGTAGATGTCAGTTAAATCCTGTTTTCTTCCTGTCTCTAGTTTGAGGAAAATAGTTTTCCACACTACTTTCAGTTTCCTGCTTCTGTCTTACTACAGTGTCTTACATATTTCTCCCCAAAATTGCATGGCTAAAACCTTCTACATAGTCGAAAAGGCTTTTGTCTCTAAATGAAATATTTACTATATAATTTCAATATCTCACTTCTTACAAGGTGTCTTATTGGAATGAATTGCTTGCAGTCTTGATTCCTCTAGAAGGAAGCTTAGAAGGGAGGCACCCCGGTGGTCTGCAGGAATTACTACTGTGCATGTTTTACGCACCGAGTGGTGTTGGTAATCGGCATATGGTTGCTAACCTTTCTTTAACAAAAATAAAGCAACAGAACATCCATTAGTTCTCCCGTAAAATGGCTCCAAACCAAACTGTACCTATGTCCAAAAGACAGTTAACTAAACATTTTGTTCTTCACTTACTGCAGCATTCATTACAGACCAAATCAGGCTAAACTCGAGCTGTAAGTGACGCTTGCTTCTCAAACAAGCAGATACTGTAGTTGCAGATGCGCTAAATTAAGCCTGCGTTAACTTGTCATTTGCCATTATCAAGAGAGAACCAATTTCATGTGAGGAGGCGTGATGTTTCTAATCATTTTGTATTTTATGTTCCTTCCCGATACTTAAACCAAGCAAACAATCTGTCTGCAAAGTATGCAAAAATCAAGCTACCTTACAGTATCTCCCTCTCTCTCCCTCTCTGCAGTTTTTCCTGCTGGGATTCTGCAGCCCCCCTTCTTCAGCAAACACCAACCACAAGCCCTGAACTTTGGAGGGATCGGGATGGTTATTGGGCACGAAATTACCCATGGGTTTGATGACAATGGTGAGAAGATAACTGAGAAAATATTGTTCTCTCAGTTGCACTCGTTACACTGTAAGAAATGAGTTACACACGGCGGTGACCGAAGTATCCGTGCGCACACGATCACACACCCGCTGAGTCGCTATCTGGGAGCAATGCGGGCACGCTGTTCACATTCTGTTGAACATGTTGCAGTGACTGTTTCATGAACTAAGCAGGTAACACAAAAAGTAAGCAGATGCTAAAAATAAACTGAGTCAATGACAATTCTTGGGAAAAGCTGTTACATTTACAACATCATCAGATCAGAAAATACAATGCAAGCAGATATGCTGGCTCCTAAAGCAAAATGAAATCCGTGAACTACATTCTCGGGATAGAAGAGCTGTCAGTAGCATCTTGAAATCATGGGAGACTTTTTTTTCCAGGACAAAAGTTTGAAATAAATTTACTTTATTATCTTTCTGGAACGCTATGCAAAATAGTTTGGGGAAAAAACTCAGCTCCTGATACCATAAGCCAGTAATTTCTTATACGTGGGTTTTCTTCAATGCGCATTTTTTTTACGTTAATTAAGCTTGTGCAGATTAGACATAAGCACACAATATAGCCTCAGAAATCCAGATCTAGAGCAAATGAAAAGCATGCTCTAGCCAGAGAGCTGAGAACACAAACACCAGAGCTGCAATTCCAGCTTTCCTCTGCTGTGGCAAAGTACTTCATTCTCTACGAACCTCAGTTGTGTTGCATGGATGCACAGAATAAGCACCTCAGACACCTCAAAGGTGCTGGCAAGTTTTGTTACCTGCCGTCCACGTAAGCCAGTCTGAAACAAAACCAGGCCTTAGTGCTAGAGCGGAAGTCGGGGCTGCTGAGCGAGCAGGAGATCCCAGGGTAAGAGAGATGAAAGGACCACAACTGATCCTGTCCGTTCCCTTGTGCCAAAGCAGCATCAACTGTCCCAGGAACATTTCCGCTAAATCTCTGTAGCACAGACCATCTGCGTCGAAGGCAGAAAGAGGGGAGGAAGTGCATTAAAAAGAAACTGGAAGAACGGTTGCTCTAACATACGCTCACTCAAAACTTCCCTTTTTTCTTGGGTTTTCATGCAGGTAGGAATTTTGATAAAGATGGAAATATGTTTGACTGGTGGAGCAATTTCTCAGCGATGCATTTCAAGGAGCAGTCTCGTTGCATGGTTTTTCAGTATGGGAACTACACATGGGAGCTGGCTGGAGGACAAAACGTAAGTAAAAACAACCACTTCCACACCACTGGCTTTTTATCCAGAAAAATAATGAACGTAAATGGAGGATCTCTACAGATGATAAGCGTAAAACCCCAGATGCTACAGGATAATTGTTCTGCAAATAGGCTATGAGGGTTGTTTCTTGTAAGTCAGGGCTACTAGCGTAGCCTAGAACTCCAGCAGTGCCTGTGTGCAGTTGGGTTAACGGTGACCTGGGCCCACGCGCGCTTTTGCTGCCAGGCCCATGAGGTGGTTTTTGCGAGGGGGAGGGAGATGTGGTGTTTGCTGCTGTATTTAGCCAGTCCTGCTAGCACGTGCTCTGCCCAGCAGCCCACGTTCTGTTCACGTTCCATTCGTGTATGTTCTCTCAGTCTAGCCTACAGCTTTTACTCTGTTAATTTTTTTTTTCATTCTCGCCTGCCTTTGCCCCAGCACAAAGCCACTGCTTCCTTCTGATCCAGACATGACCGTCTCTCTGTGATGTGTGACTGTGCTTCAGCTGCTGGTTCTTAGGGTTGCTGATGCTACTGACCACAGGCTAAATGAATGATGACTCTTTTACAGGTCAGTGGAATAAGCACGTTAGGAGAAAACATTGCAGATAATGGAGGAGTCCGACAGGCTTATAAGGTAACTTTCGAATAGACGGTGAGTGAACTTTACCCCAGGGATTCAGCAATGGGGTTACCTATTCTGTCAGAAAAAAAATTGAGAATTACCATTTTATCACCATATTCAAAAACTTAAAGCCTCATTTATACATCTCGAAGGTTATATCCCCATAGATCCGATCACAGTGTAGGACTGCTGGCATTCTTGCCCCGGGAGAAGACCACCTAATTCTCCCAGCTATACTTTGACGTAATACAATGCTTGATGCTGTGTACTTCTGTCTCAGCTAAACAAGGGCAGCGTTCATAAACAGGCACAGTACTAGCCTGCAAACAGGTAAAACGCTCTCCATTTTCTAAAGCCCCCAATTCTGAAAATGGCAGCTACAACTTCAAACAGCTTGTCACATGGCAACAGAGCACTAATTTCTTGGCAACGCACTTTGGTGATACTATGAAGCAGAGCAACTCCTTTTCCCAAGTTTATTTCTCTCACGCTCTTCATCTTTGATCTCAAAAGTGACACATCAGGTAGGACATGAAAAGAATAGAAGGAAATACCATCTCTTTCCCAAGAGGGATCAGATCTTATCTAAAGCCTAGCTCCTTTTGTCGCTCGCTTTATGTGTTTTATAAGCTTTTTATGCTTAAGCCTGGCTGCTATTTATTTTTCATGCAGCTAGAAAGCAGAATAAAAATGCAAGGATTGATACTCTCAGAACTGCCTGCCTCTTTCCAAGGTAGAAGGTTGCTTCAACCAGTCAGTTCTTTTCAAAACAAGACAAATGCAACTGATCCTTCAGAGCACCGCCTCCATGCTGTGGTTGAAAACCTGTGTGGTTCAGCGTGGTTTTATCTGTCACAAACACTAGCGCATATCGCCGTATTTCTCCTGCTCTGCCAGGGGAAGTCAGCTTCCAGACTCAGGGAAGTCCGGTATCTTTAATCCTCCAGGTTTACAAACCGCCATTATGAATAGGAACACGGGATTTATCAGCACAAAGGCTCTTTCCATATGGAGCTCAGGTGTGAGCATGGAGTGTTCTTTTCTACCAAGAATCCTCACAGACATCATGGTAAAACTTTTTCTCTCCGGTGTTTTGAATATGGGGTGTTAGGGGTGTTTCTAGAAGAACACCCTGCATTTTCAGAAATCTAAACTGACGATTCTCACTCCGAGGGACACCGTTAAAATTAATGACTTTGTTAAAGCGAACATGTTCTTTGTTCTGCAAGCTGCTGCAAATGCGCAAGAGTAGCGTGGTCTGACATAAACTGCCTGCATACAGCATCCTCTGATGTTCCGTGGTGCTGCATGTGTGTTCACCCTCGGCTCTACCTTCTATGCTTTGCGCGCTCTGGGAGTATCTCAGCAACGAAGAGGATAAGGTAACAGAACACTTGAAATCAACCAGCCTGAGGACACATTAAGTTGTCTCCATTATGCCAATATACCTAAAAAAAGAAAATTGGCCAATTAATGTGTAACAATAACAGGTAATGGATTTAACATTGAGCAAGGTTATTATCTGCTATTTTATGAGCAGTTACCTGAAGAGACAGAAATCATCACCACAGAACTGTGGAGAAGACTTAACACTTCATTCCGAGATACAAATTCCTGTAGAAAAAGTCATGTGAAAGCTGATGATTTGACTTCCAACTGCAGCCCCGGGCATTCGGTCTCTGCAGCATTATTGATTTAACATATATCACCAGCTATACTTCAGCATGATACTAGCAGCCACACTTTGTCACACTTGCTTGCCGAGACGCGATGCAAACCAACGGTCCCTCGGGGTACCACTGGCATACCTTTCTCTGAAACGGTGTGTGCCACCTCGCTCAGGAAATTCAGAATAGATCTCCAAGTGACTCCGTAAAGAACACGCATAGCTTCCTGCAGTGCAGGTCAACTGGACAACAATAACTACTACTTTAAAACTCCACTTCCATATCAGAGTCCAGTATTTTTTCCCATTTTTGGTTCAGAGACAACTATAGGTAACGAGCTGAATGCAAATTGTCTTTGCCTTTCATTTTTTTACTAGTCAACGCACTTACAATGACAGCTTTTCCATAAAGCTAGCTGTACTATTTGTATTAGAAAGATAAAACTACAAAAATACAGAAGGGAAGACATGCTGGGTTCATATACATCGTGACTAACATCTTTCACCCAAAAATAACATTCAAAATACCCCTTGTGCCTGAACAGGCCATCCTGCCGCCTCTCTGAATCGAGTCTGTGATCATTTCTAGGCCTACTTAAAATGGCTGGAACGGGAAGGGAAGGAGCCAAGGTTGCCTGGACTGAATCTGTCCCACCACCAGCTTTTCTTCCTCAACTTTGCCCAGGTAAGAACGCTTGGATGCAGGCCCTACGTGCTGTGTGAAAGTATAAAGTAGGTTATCCTGAAGGTTAGAGAGAAAATGGGTCCCAAGCTCCACTTGGAGAGCGATTCACCATTGACTGCACTCATCAAAAGGTCCCCAAGCCAGATGTGAAAAAGCTGGTTCAGTGATTAGAGGAAAGGGTTTTCAGTGACTTTTCTGAGGGCACGACTGAAACCTGCTGGAGTGAGGATGCAGAGAAACAGGGCATCTACCAACAAAAAGGCATGTCAGACAACTTATGGGGACAACAACTTTCAAGAGCCTGCCAGTTCATGTGAACAGTGGTTCCACGAGCATTTATGAGAAAACTCCTTCTGCTTTCAGTACAGACAGGGTTTCACCCGTTGTTGAACATGTGCTAGAGAAAACTAAATGCCTAAGAAATACCAAGCCAGCAGCCCTGAAATAGGAATATATATTCAGATCGCAGATGTTGCTACAGATTCCACTTATTCTCCTCTATACCAGTTTATTACGATGCAGAAACAGTTAAGTTTGCCAAGTTCAATTTCTCCCTTCAGCCTGGATGAGAAACTCCCGTATGTTTACACTCTTAGAGTAGCAAATATTTAAGAGTAGGTCAAATATTCGACAGTAGGCCAACACACTTAGTGTTGTGCCTCAGACTCATCTGTTTGAGGAAAAAAATGGCTGAAATCAAGAGCTGATATATCTATCCCAAAGCATCAGATTTTGATCCAAGAATTTGATCTTTTGAAAAATGATTAGTAAACAGTTGTATCCATTCTTCCTCCTCTGTAAAACGTACTCCAACTGTATGGTAACAAATTGGGATGGCTCTTGGGAGAAAGTTCGGAAAAAAGTGAGAGGGTTCCCAAACTGAATTCCCTTTAATACTGACCACTAATGATGCATCCTCCTTGTCTAGGTTTGGTGTGGTTCCTACAGACCAGAATACGCTAGCCAGTCAATCAAGACAGATGTTCACAGCCCTCTGAAGTACAGGTGAGTTTTAGAAACCGATTTACTAACTGAGAACTGCGTTCAACCCATTGCACCAATGCAAAAGGAGAGTGGCTCATTGCTAGCAGCTATATTTTAACAGACAAGAAAAATCTAGGCTAGCTTTCAGAATTCCCCCCGAGCTTGCAGGACACTGCTGAAGAGTACATTCCTTTAGCTGGCCTGCTCAGTTTGCCAATCTACAGAGAATGGACAAGAACCCACTTGCTATGTGCTCTGTTTGGTCTAGCATTTCATCAGTCATATTAGCTGTATTTTTACAGCCTAAAGTATTCCGTATTCTGAGACTGTAATTGGGTTAAGAGACTCTAACTCACTTTATGGACGTGGCTTTCTGTTTTCCAGAGCAACAATCTCCATGCGCTGTATCCATGTAAGTTCCTTCTCTTTGTTTAGGGTGATGGGATCTTTGCAGAACTTTGAAGCGTTCTCAGAGGTGTTCCGCTGTAAAAAAGGCACAGCCATGCATCCTGCAGAGAAGTGCAGAGTGTGGTAACAAAAAAAGACGCTGGCGAGAATGACACATACTGTGGTGACACAACAAACAGTTCTTGCCAATGATGTGCCTGACGTTCTCGACTCAGTCACAGCCAAGGCCAATGGTGCAGCTACAGGAGTGAGAATCAAGGGAACTACAGCACTCGAGCTCTTGCGGTTCCACCGGGAAGCCCCCAGCTATCTTGGTGACTTACGGGCTGTGCTGAAAGCCACGCTATGCTCCAGAACAGAAATGACTGTTTCAAATGACATCCTGACTGTTATTAAGATACCGCATCAGGGTTACAAAGACTAATTCTTAAATAAAAACAAAAGCCAACAAACACCTATGTCTATTTTTCAGAAGGGAACACTAATCTTAACGTCTCACAACCACGCCTTCTGAGACTCAGCAAGCCTGGTCGAGATGTTTCACTGAACTGCTTTCCCGTATTCTGATTCAGTTTCTGGTGCATTCTTCCCAAATTCAGGTTAGAGCTAGTTCAAACTCTCGTGCTCTCTGTACACTTGCACCTTGATTCCTGCTTTGTTGTAGGAGACGCTGTCTGTCTCGGTGTGTTACAAAGTGAGCTGTACGTTAAGATGCCTGTAGGCTGCTAACCCAACGCGAAGCTGCACGCTCCTACTGCGCTTGAGTTCCTCTGCTCCAAAGAAGAGCTGTAACGTGACCTTACAGTGAGGTATGACTAGGTAGGAAGATCACACTTTTAGAAGTACAAATTCTGTTGTTACGGCTAAAATTACAGGGTTCCCCCGTTCAGAGATATATTTAAAATTATGCTTATTCTTGTAGGAAGTGTATAAAATACTTTTTGCCAAATAGCAAACATGTATCCATGGAAACAATTAAGCTGTTTTTAATCCTGTGCCTTTTCATTTTGCCACAGGCTATTTTTCAATATTTACACTTGAAAATGTAACAAGTATTAATGATTTTTAATTTAAAAAAAAAAAACCCAAAAACAAAAACAAAACCGCAGTGGCCAATTCGGCAAGCATTTTACTATAGAGAGTTTTGGGTGGCTTTCCCCAGTAAGCATTCTAATATAATATTTTAAACTGCCAACACTTAATAGTGAATTTTACATACTCTTCTAGCAAATGCTTTTCTTTCTAGCACAGAAATCACTGGAAAGCAAGATAGTAACTATTAACGCTTAGCTTACAAAGTGCCAAGTCCCACTCATTGTTTGCTTCACAGGTTTCGTTGGCACGCCACTAGCAGAAGGTCTGATTATCTAAACAACAGACAAGGAAAGGAAAACCACTTAGCAGAAGCAGCTTTGCCAGAAGAGATGACCCACTGAATTATTCTGGCCATCTGACACTAGGAGCTGGCTAAACCACTGAATTAAACCCTCCTGATTTTTGCATGAATTTTACCTGCTAAAGTGAAGTCAGTCTACAGATACATCGCCGCTTTTCACGTAGCTGAGAATATATAGTTCGATCATGTTATTTCTATCTTAAAAGTAATCTTGGAAGATACCTTTCTCAGAGAATCAGTGCCACCTCAGGGATTAACCATTCTTCAAAGTTTGAGAATTAAGTACAGCAGGGAGAATATGTAGTAACAGGGTTTAGTTGCAAGTTTATTTATTTAATCTCTCTTCAGAAGACTAAGAACAGACTGTTCAGCGCCCATAACAGAGTTGCCTACTGCAAACAAATACTACACAAAGCACAGAATTTCGCTTCCAATGCAGTTAATAGTAATAGGAAAACTGTTTCACACCTAATTCCTTTCTATGCTGCACCTCAGATGACTGTATTATATACAGATGTCATCAAGGGAATGCAACCTGAACTACATTTTGGTTCGGTGTTTCAGCTACTATTTAATTAGGTCTATTACCTGAGGAGAACTGCACTTGACCACATTAATTCTAACAAAGATCCTGATTCAAGGCAGATTAAGTGGGAGTAAAGGATGTTTTTTCATATGGGAGTTGTTGGATTGACATATACAAGTGCCTGAAAACTTCAGGATTGACCCATACTAAAAAAACAACAACAAAGGTGAATAGGAGAGTGCACTAACAAGCTCTGCGAGCCCTTTAAAAAAAAGAAAAATGTTACAATATACTAGCATGAAGCTCCCCTTTAAGTGACTTAAAAGCTCTTAAAGGAAACCTGGGAGGTACAGAACCTGGCACGTATGTGTCCTCACGCCTCCATACGGTTTGAAGGGATTCAGACATTAAAACTTTTGGTTCTACTGAGACAAATAACGAGACGTTTATTTCCCGTTAGATAGCTGGATAAGGTACTGTGTGTTCCTGGTACTTCACCTCAGAGCTAGATTAGTTTAGAATACACACACCCCCCGACCCCCCCCCCAAATTCACAGTAGCATCACTACACTTAATGCTTGTCCATTCTGGTAAGTTCCAGTTCTCTCCAATACTGCGATACTGAACACCAAAACCTTTTGACGTCACACTTAGTAACGCTACTAAAACGCAACAGAAGCAATTTCACAGAGTATCATAGTAAATCATCCATGCGACTTAACCACGAGGACACAAGTTAAATCTAGTCAGGACGTAACACAGACTCTGTAAAAATGGACAGTAACTTCTTTAGACTTTAATCAAGGCTCAACTCAAATGTGGCTAACCATGAGATTTTGGCTCCATCCAGGAGCCAAATCTGTGCATCTGTGATCTAACCGTGTAGTTAGATTACAGATGTAGCAGCAGTTTGGTGAGAGGTGAGATTCTAATGTCCTAAAAGGCTTCATGCCAGTGACAGTATTTTCTGCCTACCATCATTAGAGGTGAGAGTCCAACTACCAGCGATCTGGCGAGAAGTACGAAGACTAAGTTCTGCGTAACAACAGTGCTTTAAGATGTTTGCAGCTGGATGTTGAATTATGCCTAATTATGTTCCATTCTGGTTTTCATTCATGTTTTAGAAGAGTTTTTGCTCTTGAATTAACCAAATGGTCATGTCCCACGCCTTGTTAAAACTGACTGACATACAAACTAGGTTTGTATTTGCTCCTGGACTGCCTTATGTATTTAATAGGGTAGGGACTTTATTTTTCTACATTGCTCTTTATCTGTATAAAAACTGACATGATCTACAACTCTCCTTAGTGTGAAATGCTGTCCAAACTTTGTTCTGGCCATTAAGTGAGGTTCACCTTTCTCATCACATCTAAAACTGATGTTGGTAGAAAGATCATTTGACTACTGTTTCCTATTGGAAGGATTTTAATTTGTTTTGACATTAAATGACCGGTTACAAGACAGTCAAGTGCTCTGATAAATCAGTTTTTGTTATTTAATTATTTGTGTGTAGTGGCAGGCAAAAATAAAACTGTATTTAACTGCATTTTGTCCATCTTCCCTTACTCAGATTTTCCACGCCAGACTGCACGCATACCGCAAATGCAAGTCAGGTAACAGAAACTTCTTCCCTTGTGCAGCTGATATTTGTGGCACTTCCAGTGAGCTAAGTTGGCCAGAATGCCTTTCCTCCGTCCTCACATGCCTTTAACAGCCAGGTGTTTACAGTGCAATGGACTCTCCAAGAAAAGCGTCCTGGCCCAAGATGCCTTTAATATTTGTCCCCTATGTATCACAGTAAGAGACACCTATTTTCTCAGTTTGCTCTGAGAAAAAGGAGTTATCCGAGAACTCCTCAGGGGATGCCAGCTATGCTGTGAACGTACCATTTCTTTTGCCAGCTTCTGCTCAGAGATTCATCCTAACAGTTAGGTCTAGATCAGCCTGACAATCACAGACTTCATAAGAAGTTCAGGTAGTTTGCCTGCCACCATGAAAATGTTTTTATTTGGGGGTTATTAAGAGTGACATTTTAAAATACTACAGTGTTCAATAGTTTAACTTTTCTATTAAATTGCCAGTAACAGTACCTCAGGATAAACTACAATGGGAATTCTTCTTCAAGGACAGAAAAATTAGGTAGCCTACATCTTCTAGCAGCAGAACAGCAGAAAAAAGCAGCACATTTGAGGAGTAACTTTTTAATGTAAAATCCAAGAGACAATACATGAAGGGGGAAAAAAAAGAAGAAACACAAACTATTGATTGCCAATATGAAAAATATCACAAATTCAAGGACAGAACCTGGCATAGGATCTTTTACATATTACACTTACTCATATTTGCAGTGGTCCAGCTATAATACAAGACTATTCATGCAAAAAGGCAAGTTTACTGCAAATAGGGGGTAACAGAACAAAGACTGTCCTTGCAGCTTCATTTTTGCTTAGATGCTTCGTGCTCCTGGTTTTTGTTATCAGATGTAGACCTCTTCATTGCACTGTTAAGAAATGCAGAAGTAATTATTGCTGAGGATCAGGATCTACAGTCCAGTATGTTTCCGATGTGCTGGAAAGGTCCCTTGCTCACGAGACAGGTCACAGAGTTACGCACGAGAACAAAAGCACGAGATTACGGAAGAAGAGTCAACCAAAGTTGTGACCAGTAATACAGTGCTGTCAACTGTTTTAACTGGACTGTAACAGCTTACAAGGATACCACAAGTACTACAGTAAAGGTAACTTAGCATGTGCTCTACAGATAACAGAAATGGTGCTAGAGATAGTCAGATTTGACTTATCTAAAAGCACAAGTTATTGTTCTTTGTTACCATATTCGTAAGACAGTTTTGGCCTTGAGAACTGCACTCTTTTATTTGTTCACTGAAGTCTTAGCAGAAGGACTGAAACTGCCAGATACTAGACTGCTAGGCAGTCGCTGCCTACCATGAGGGAACTCAGGAAAGTAACAACAGTGTATACATATGCCAAGCAAGGAAAACAGCACACAACCGTGCAGAGGTCCACATGGCTGACAATTTAATTACTCTGCAAAATCATTAGGCTCTGGAGATGTTCCATTAGAAGTTCTGGCGTATGCAACTGCTAAAGGGATAATTAAAATGTGCCTGGGAGGTTTTATTCCAAGTTATTATTACAGCAAATGGAAGTTACTTTACTTTCTCACGCAGGTTTATTACGCCTCC